GCACACTGGAGACGGCTCAGTGGTTCCCTCTAGCAGGTTCTGGGGTGTCTGGGAGAGGACCTGCAGGGACCTCCTCCCTCGCCTAGCAGGCTGCAGTACCCACCTCTTGAACCTGGGTGAGTCCCCCTGGGGGGCACCTCTGGAAAACAAGGGAATTCCTACTGGGAATGCAGCTGGGGCTTGGGGTGTGAATGAAAATGAGCAGCTTTTGAATTCCAGATATTGCTAGGACTTCAAGTCACCACCAACCTTTTATGGACCTCACAAGGGCTCCAGCAGCTGGGCTAAGCACTTTGTGAAGTCAGAGCCTGCTGTCCTCACGCTGGGCCCATCTCAAAGACAGAAAACTGAGGCTCAGAGAAGGTACCCACCTTCCCCGAGTCACCCACTGAGCCAGGGGGGCCTGGGATGGGACCCTGGTCCTCAGGGAAACCCCTCCTGCCGTCAGAGTCCATCTCCATATTCAGCCTGGATTACAGGCAGTGCCCCTCAAGGGGGACACCTGCCTCCATGTCCACCCTTCTGCCCAAGCTCTTTCTCGTAGGCAGAAGGGCCTCAGGGGGTCTTGTTGTCTGCCCCAGAACGAATCCCGGGTGCCTGCTTTCTCCCCATCTGCTCCTGCACCTTCGCGGCTCGCTTCCCTCTCCCACCCTTGCTTCCCTCCGTCCCTGCGCACTCACCAGCCCCCCAACTCCCAGCTCAGCTCTGTGACCTGCTCCTATTCCCCTTCCTATCACACTTCTGCCAGGATCAGGCCCCCAAAATTGGGTGGCAAGGCCCTTCCCGCGCTGTTCCCTTTCCTCGGTTCGCAGTCCCCAGCTGGGCCAGGCCCCCAGTGCATGCTAAGCCCGCATGAGAATCTTTCCGGAATGTGAATGGGATTATGCCACTTGCCCGTTTAGCTCGCAGGGGCTCTCAACTGCCTCGTCATTGCTTTCTGCCTCCTCAGCCTGTCTTGAGGGCCTCCATGAGCCCCCGAGCCCCCCTACCAGGCCCTTCACTGCCTCCTTCCTCTGAGCCCTGTTACCCCCAAACTCTCCCCATCCGCAATCGAACTATCTCGGTGAGCTCCTGACCCCAACCTGCTCCTGAGTTTTTACTTCTGTTGCGTGAATATCGGTGTGATGGAAGACAAAAATCACTTTCTTCCCACCCGCTTCCTTGATACCCTGTGCTTTCTTCTGACCAGGCGGGATTTATAGGAAGACTAGAAAGAAGTGCCACTCTCTTGCTCTGCTGGAAGCTGAGAGTCATCCTGTCTCTGGCCCTCCTGGCTCCGGGGTTCTGCCCTCAAGGCCGCGCTCTGCCCCTCCGGGACCCAGCTTGCGCCTCCTCTCCCCCTTGGTAGGCAGAAGGGCCCCAGGGGGTCTTGTCGTCCGCCCCCCCCCCCCACACCCTCCAGTACAAATCCCAGGTGCCTGCTTTCTCCCCATCTGCTCCTGCACCTTCGCGGCTCGCTTCCCTCTCCCACCCTTGCTTCCCTCCATCACGGGAGTCTCCCTGCATCTGTCTCTGGCCACCTTTTTGTCACTTTTGTCACTGAGAATGTCACTCCTCTGCCTGGAAAAGCCCCGAACTCCTCTTACTGCTTGAAGAATGGAGTCCCACCAGTACCAAAAACAGCATCGAAGAACAAATGATCCTTAACATCAGACTTCCGGTTAGACATATCTAAAAACATATTGTCTAGAACCTAAAATACTTGTTAGTATCAGTAGGAGAAAAAAGATTCCTACAGGAAGGAGAAGAGAAAAAGCAATCAGCGAGCCCACTTGCGGCTCACAGCAGTGCGAGGAGGCCTGCCTTCTCATGGGCTTCCTCGAGGAGGGCTCATCTGTGGGTTCATCTTTTGACTCTGTAAGGACCCCACTAAGACCCCGAACGATTTTGACTGGAGGAGAAAAAAATCTTGTGTTGGAAGTAAGTGTAACCTATTTGCTTCTTAAATCTCAAATGCAACCTGACCCTAATAAATCGAGTTTTCAAAGAAAGCTTCTGGGGGCTGCATGATTAAACCTGTTGTGTGTTGTTTGTACTCTGGGAGCTAAGAATATTGTGATTTCTACTTCATGTCTTTATGGCTTTTTTTGGTCCCACAAACATCTTTCAAACAAATAACCATGGTCAGCAATTCAAAATGATACGGAGAATCTGTGGGCCCAGGAAATGACCCAGGAGTCTCGAGGAAATGTGGGATTCTAGAACAGCTCCCTATCCGTCACCCTCCTGTCCCACGGGGATCTTTCCAAAACGCAGCCCCTTTTCTTTCTTCTCCTCTTTTCTAAGTTCCTCTTCACAGTCTATAAACATCCCCAAGTTCCTCTCATCTGAAAACAAAACAAACCCAAACCCTCCCCCCACCCCACCCACCTTCCCACCCCCTCATCTTGTGTCATCCCCCTCAGCCTTTGCCTCCTCAGCAAAACATCCTGAAGGCGCTGTCTGCACAGCTTCCACCACCCCCAGGGGCAGTGGCCAAGAGGAGTCCCCCTGGTCCGGGGGCTCCAACCTTGCCTCCCAGCTCACCAGTTGCTTTCCTGGGCCAGCCCCAGCTTGTTTCAGGCGGGGTACCAATCTGTGAGTTTTTTCCCCTGTAATGTTTGCTTTTCAGATCATTGTAGGCTTTATTGTCTCTTAGAAGAGGAAAATAAAAAAGGAAGACAAATGAAGGATTAATAAGTATCTTTCCCTCAAGATGAATCCATGATTTCTGCTTTAGACCATTCTTTTTTTTTTCTCCCCTAAAAGTATTAAGAAAAGTTATCCAGAAAGACTTCTACCCTTCCAATGTTCCACGAGACTAGTTGGTCTCCCACAAGCCACCTTCGTGTCATTTGATGCTGGGGGTGGAGAGAGAACCGACTTTGGAGTAAGGAAGAGTAGATGTGAGTCTGTAGAGGACCGGTGAGGGGGAAATGAGCCTGTCCGGTAGAGATGCGAGCCACCGCCGCCGGATACCGAGGGCAGCCCCGCAGGTGTGGCTGCTCTGGGCTGTAGGGCATCCGCCAGGTGTGCCCGGACTGCGCAGCCTTAGTACAGCTGTCGCCCGCTCATGGACTGACCACCCGTGTCCTGGGTGTGGCACCCTCCTTGGAAAGTGTACCACGTACCACGTATGTATATTTTCAACTTTTTACAAGTTATATTTTGTGTATACACACACACACACACACACACACACATACACCACCTGGGTGGCTCAGTCGCTTAACGGTCGGCCTTCTGCTCAGTCATGATCCCGGGGTGCCCAGATCGAGACCCGCATCGGGCTCCCTGCTCAGCGAGGAGTCTGCTTCTCTCTCTGCCTCTCCGCGTCCCCCCTGCTCGTACTCTCTCTCTCTCAAATAAATGAATAAAATCTTTTTTTTAAATTATATTTTGAAAATGGGATTGTGAAGGAAGTCGGCTTTTGCTCAGTGGTCAGGTGAGGGCTTGCGGATTGCGTGCTTTGCAAAACAACGTTCAACGCAAAAGCTTGTAAAGCGCGTAATGACAGCTGAGCCTAAAGACGCACCAGACGCTGCTCGGCTCGTTCTGGGTCCCGTAGTTCGTCTGCTCCCAAGACTTGTCGAAGGGGCGCGCTCCCTGGAACAGGTCCTGGCGGTGCAGAGCCCACCGGCCGGACGGCCCCGGGCCGCGGCCAGGCGAGCCCCGGGCGTGTTCCTGACCGCACCCGGCTTTCCCTGAAAACGGCCTCGTTAGAGGACGGGGGCCTGGGGAACCGGAGGGCAGGACCGAGAGCCGGCCTGAGCCAAGGAGCCCGTCCAGGCGCAGCGCAGCGCCGCAGGATATAGGGCGCTAAGACCCGCCCCGCCCCCGAGACCCCCGGCCCCGCCCCCGAGGCGGGAGCCAACCAGCTCGCCCCCACCGGTTGCCGTTTGGCCGGGGGGCGGACCGGCGCCCTGCTCAGCTCCGCCCCAAAGTTCCTCCTCGCCACGCCCGCCTCTGCCGACACCACGCCTGCGCAGACGGTCAAGCCACGCCCTGCCTCTGTCCTCTGCGCGCGCAGCGCTCCCGTGAGGCAGTGCGAGGCGCGGAGCGCGGCGGCGGGTTTCTGAGGCGTGCGAACGGAGCTTCCAGAGGTGAATGGCGCCAGCCTCTCCGTGGGGCTGTGGGAGCGGCGCCGGTCCCCCGGCTGCCTCTTCTTTCCAGGCACCCCTGGGGACTCCTTTCAGGCGCGCGAGTCGGGGTCCTCAGGGCTTGGAGCCACGGGCGAGGGCGAGGGCGGGGAGTGCGAAGGCGAGTGGGAGGTGGGCGTCAGCGGGGAGCGCGGCGAGGGTGAGTGAGGCGCAGTCCGGTCGGGGGCGGGACGGGGGCTGGGCTGATGCGGGTAGGCCGGGGCTGGGGGGAGCCGGGCAGGGCCGCGGGCGGGTCCTCCCGGGCGGGGCCGGGGCTGGTCCTGGGGGCGGGGCGCGGGGCGGGGCCGCGCGTGGGCGGGGCCTCGGCGGGGGCGGGGCCGCGCGTGGGTGGTCTCGCGCGGCTTCGGCGGGGGCGGGGCCGGGGCTGGTCCTGCGGGCGGGGGCGCGTGGTCTCGCGCCGCCGCTGATACGCGGGCCGTCGCCCCAGAGGGAGTGAACCGCGCGGGTCTGGGGTCTCTGCAGTTTGTCTTCAGCGCTAGTTCGGCGGCCTCTGCGGGTGTGTGTTACCAACGTGCGGCCGGTCGCCGCCCGTGGAGTTCCCTTAGGGAGGTCATCGGGGGTGGTTCGGCGCTGCGCTGGTTGCAAAGTAGCAGATGCCGCGCGTGTTTCTGCCACTGTTTGCTTAGTTCTTCGGCACTTCTGAAGTGGCGGGTACTTGGGTTTTGGGGTTCGGGGGTTATTTTGAAGTAGGGTTGACGTACACCGTTGCATTAGTTTTGGGTGCGCGGCGTAATGACCTGACCTGGGCATACCTTGCGAGATGGTACCGCGTTAAGTCTTAACGCCATCACCGTACCTCGTGACTTTTTTTTTTTCCTTTTCTTGAGAAGTTTTAAGATCAGTTTGAGAACGGTTCTTAAATCTGAAGCCTGATGTTGCCTGCAGTAGGTTGATCGTCTCTGGACGTTGATTCCTGTGTGAGTGGCGGATGCCGATTTGAGTCGCTGAGGTAAACATTTGGTTGACTCTTTCTCTAGAACATTTCCGTATTTATTTCTGTTTTCTCACGTGGGAACGGCTGGGTGCGGGAAGAGGCTGCTTAGCCGCAGGCGGGCTTGGACTTGTTTAGATACACTTATTTTGAATTAAAAACTGAATGAAAGAACTGAGCTGCTCTGTAAGAGACAGTGTATTTTTAATGACTGTCTTTGGAAAGATTTTCTTGCCAGTTAGGTTTTCATTGTGTTTGCAGTGTTCTCAGTAATACCCTAATTTATTTTATCTTCATCAGACATTTCAGCTATAACTACCTCTGGGTTAGATGGTTCCCAGATATTCTGTGATATTTATCAGTATCGTCCTTTTACAAATACAGTTACTTTATTTATGGTCTAATACCTGTTTTTCCTCCCCCAGGAGAAGTCAGATTCTAAAAATATTTTTTCCTTTCTCTATGGACTTAATATAAAATTAGTTTCGTTTGTGTTTTGGGTTTATTTTCTAAATAGCAACATAAACCCTTATCTGTTACAAAGAAATTGGGTACTTAAACCATGAGTTGTGGAAAAGAGTTTGTGGAAACATTAAAAAAAGTCAATTATCCCAAAGCTGATACTCTTAATGGGGAAGATTTTGACTGGTTGTTTGAGACTGTTGAAGATGAATCATTTCTGAAGTGGTTTTGTGGGAATGTGAATGAACAGAATGTATTGTCTGAAGAAGAATTGGAAGCTTTTAGCATTCTTCAAAAATCCGGCAAGCCTATCCTAGAAGGAGCAGCATTGGATGAAGTTCTTAAAACCTGTAAAACTTCTGATTTGAAGACATGTATCTTGGATGACAAAGAGCTAGAGAAATTAGAGGTTGAGGTTCAGACTCTGCAGAAATTGAAGAACCTAAAAATTCAGCGACGTAATAAATGCCAGTTGATGGCTTCAGTAACAAGCCACAAATCTCTGAGGTTAAATGCTAAAGAAGCAGCGGCCACTAAAAGGCTGAAGCAGAGTCAAGGGATTCTAAATGCTATGAATACCAAGATAAATAATGAACTTCAGGCTCTTACTGATGGAGTTGCTAAATTGATGATGTTCTTCAGACATTCTAATTTGGATCAAAGGACAAATCCACTGGTGTTTTTATCTCAGTTTTCCTTGGAAAAATATCTAAGCCAGGAAGAGCAAAGCACAGCAGCATTAACTTTATATACCAAAAAACAGTTCTTTCCGGGTATACATGAAGTAGTTGAAAGTTCAAAAGAAGAAAATTTTCAACTTTTAGATATACAAGCACCATCTATTTGTGATAATCAAGAAATCCTTGAGAAGAGATGGCTAGAGATGGCTAGGCTGCAGCTAGCCTACGTTTGTGCTCAACATGAGTTAATTCACTTGAAAGCAAGTAATTTGAGCATGAAGTCAAGTATACAGTGGGCAGAGGAGAATCTTCATAGTCTCACTAGCAAGGTAAATATGAGACATGAGACTGGATTCGTACAGTAATCATTGTTTATAATCGAAGATATGTTAAAATATTTCAGAAAGGGGGTCGAAACAAGTACATTTGTAACAATGTAACATAAGTTACATTTTCTTATCTTCTGTTTATTCATTGCTTAGTTTTGATGTATTTCAGTGTTTCATACAAATAGATCTTCATATCAGTAGAGGGCAAAAATAGTAATTATAACCCAATCACGTTAGCTAATTTTAAACAAAAGTACTTTTTCTGAAGTTGAAATTCGTGTTGGTTCAGACTCAGAGGACACTGAAATTCCCTCTTTTATGATGTATGGTTAAAGAGCCTTGTTGCTTTGTTACGGGTGTTCTGCCTTGTTTGGTGCTAATGAAGTCAGAGACCCAGTTCAATGGACTGAAACCCTGATTTTTTTGTTGAGAATGTACGGATGTAGTGCCCATATCTATCTGCACTCTTGGAAAGCTTGCAGTCTTGGTAATATAACCACTACGTAATTGAGTGAAAATACAGCTGAAACTGAGTATCAGCACCAAGTGAGCTCGTATAACTGACACAAACTTAGGAATAATGTATGAAGTTCGTCACTCTTTGCCAGTGCTAAAATCAGCTGACAGACTAGGAGCATGGCTACTGGGACTATTTTAGTTTTAAGAAAAACTTAAAATAGTGTACATTTGCATTCAGTTAGTAATGCGCTAATGATTTTTATTAAGTAAGACAAGCATGACAAGGTGTCTGTCTTGGTAGCCATTATTGTATATATGTGGTGGTGATAGCGTTAAAACAGCAATTTACCTACTCCTTTCCTTTTTTAAACTGCGATTTTGGCTTTTGTTAACATGAAATTAGTTTTTATTAGCATGTGATCTGATAAACTAAAACGGAAAGTAAAAATAAGTTTAAAACTATTTTGACTTTATACTTAATGGCTTTAAACGTAATTGCTTTTTCTGTGTAGGCTCTTGGCAAAGATAATTTGGAAGCTAAAATTTCTAACTTGAGTAGTGAGATTCTGAAACTTGAAGAACAAATCTCTCATATGAAAGATAAAAGTTTGCCTGCTGTGGTAAAAGAGAATGCCCAGTTATTGAATATGCCAGTTGTAAAGGGAGATTTTGATCTACAGATTGCTAAACAAGACTATTATACAGCAAGACAAGAGTTAGTTTTAAATCAGTTGATAAAGCAAAAGGCATCTTTTGAACTTCTACAATTATCATATGAAATTGAATTGAGAAAGCATTGGGACATATATCGTCAACTTGAACATTTGGTTCAAGAACTTAGTCAAAGTAATACCATGCTCCACCAGCGATTAGAAATGCTAACAGACCCATCAGTATCTCAGCAGATAAATCCGAGGAATACCATTGATACCAAGGACTTTTCTACCCATAGGTATGCATCTTTGTTTCTTTAGTAATTGTTTTTTTTTTTTTGCTTTTGTAAAATACTGTAGAGAGTTTGAACTAATATTGTGGAAGTTTAAAACATTCTTTGTTCTCTATTTTGGGCCCTCTGTTCTCTTCTTTCACTTTTCTTGCATATGACTCTTCCCTTTTGAATATCTTGCTCGCTTTTCCGTTCTTGTTATATCTGGATGTAGCTGTTTTAGAGCTGAGGTGGATGGGTTGGTGGAGTGAATGTATACAAGGTCTTATTCACCTTTGGGCACCATTATTTAGATACTTTGAGATTGACACAGGAGTTTTAACTGCAGGGAGTTTGAATACATTTTGGTGTGTAGTTGGTATTGCTGGGCAGAGAACTGATTGCATTCAGAGAAGGTGTGGGCAGAGAGATGGGAAAACGGACTGTGTTTCTTGTCAGGTGCATCAGTGAGAATGAATACTTGCTCCCAACCTCTTCTGGATGTCTAAGCAGTTGATGGTATAGGAATACTAAAATTGGAGGACTGAAGTAGTCAAAGGCCTCAGAAATCTGGATCCTGCTCCTGATTTTTCTCTAGTGCTAGAGGAAAATCATCTAATCTTTTTGTTTTGTTTTTTAAGATTTTGCTTATTTGAGAGAGGGAGAGAGCGAGCACGAACAGGGGGAGGGGCAGAGGGAGAAGCAGACTCCCTGCTGAGCAGGGAGTCCAACGTGGAGCCCGATGCGGGGCTCGATCCCAGGGCCCTGGGATCAGGACCTGAGCCAAAGGCAGACGCTTAACCGACTGAGCCACACAGACGCCCCTCCTTTTTTTTTTCTTAATGAGGTGAGGGGCATGGAAAGGGTGACAGTGACATCATGAGCTAAGAATGGTTCCCCCTCCCGAAATTGTATAGTCATGTCCCACAAGAACAAAATTGGCAGCCTTGGACTTGAACCAGTTTTATGAATTCTTGCAAATTGTTAAAATAATTAAGATAATTAAAAATGTATATATTTTTGAAATAGAAGAAAAAGAACAAACCCTTTTTGTCAGAAATGTGTAGAAAATGCTGCCTCACATTTTTCCATTTGTTCCAAGGGATTTTCTGCCATTAATACTTGAAGTGTTAAAAGTGGCCTCATAGCTCATTAGGAATTTAATTCGACAATCAAATATGGATAAGACTGGAGTCGCAAGTTTATTATTTCTTTAGCTCTTCATTGTTTTCATTTCTTTTTACATTTTATACTTTATTTTCAGTTTTTCTCTTTTAAATTCTCTACCATCCTGTAACGATAGGTATGTGAAATGAAGAATGTAGTCTCAGAGGTTGACTTGACCCAGGTCTCAGAAGACAGCCAGAACTCAGACCTGGGTCTTCTGTTTCAAGCTCGTTGCTATTTCTACTATATCATAATGTATTCTGTGAAAGAAATGTTTTCTTGGGCAGTATCTCTGAAACATACGATAATGGCAGTTAAAAGTCAAAAAATGTATTCAAAACTTGCGGGATGAGAAAGTAGAAGCAGATACAGTAATTACAATATGTATTTCTGTAATGAGATAGTATTCTATTTTATTTTTCTTACATATATAATTTAAAGATTTTATTTATTTGAGAGCGAGAGCATGAGAGAGAGAGAGAGAGAGAGAGAGAGAGAGAGAGCATGAGCCAGGGGGTGGGGTAGAAGGAGAAGCAGACTCCCTGCTGAGCAGGGAGCCTGATGTGGAACTGGATCCCAGGACCTTGGGATCATGACCTGAACTGAAGGCAGATGCTTAACCAACTGAGCCACCCAGGTGCCCTGTAATGAGAAAGTATTTTAGCTGGAATGTTTTTGGTTGCTTGATTTAGCAGCAGATTAATTTTTTTCCAGGTTAATATTTTTAATCTGTTATATATCCCCAAAGATGCCCAATACGGTGACTTATAATTTTGAAAATTGTACTGATTTGAGAATTTTCTCCTGTAATTTTTATTTTCACATTTTAGGCTTTATCAACTTTTAGAAGGAGAGAATAAGAAAAAAGAATTATTTATAACCCATGGAAACCTGGAAGAAGTGGCTGAGAAATTAAAAAAGGATGTTTCTTTAGTACAAGATCAATTGGCAGTATCTATTCAAGAACATTCTTTCTTTCTGTCCAAACTGAATAATGATGTGGATATGCTTTGTGATACTTTGTATCAAGGAGGAAATCAGCTTTTGCTTAGTGATCAGGTGAGTGCTGGCCACAGTAACTGAAAATGCTGTAAAAAAATGTTTGTTGTAAAAGATAGTAAAGAAAATGTTAACACGAGGAAAATACTACCCCAAATGCTATTGCCCTACTATAAAATTTATTTTTTTATATCCTACTTTTTGTTCACATATAAGTATATTTTTCGGATGGTTTTGATCAATGTCAACAGAATTTTAAGAACTTACAAAATATTTCAGACATAAAAGGATATGTAATGTTTACACTAAGAATTTAAAGAAAAATCAAACCACCCCTGTATTTTACCTGTCTCAGCAAATAGAGGGCTATTATCTTTAAAGTGTTCTGTGACAGCTTGCTTCTACCAATAGCATTTCCTTTCCTTCATCACTTAATCGTTTGCTTGCCTTTATTTATACTTTTATTACACATATATTCCTAGATTGTATATATATATTTTTTTTATTTATTTGAGAGAGAGTGAGCATGGGCACGAGTGGGGGTACGGGCAGAGGGACAAGCAGGCAGCACCCTGCTGAACAGGGAGCCTGGGCATGGGGCTCAATCCCAGAGCCCTGGGATCATGACCTGAGCCGAAGTCAAGACACTTAACTGACTGAGCCACCAGATGCCCCGCTAGAGTGTATATTGTTTAGTTTATATGTTTTTGAAGTTTATGTATGTGGTTTCTTACATATATTCTTTACTAACTTGCTTGTTAATATTAAGATACTGAGATTCATCCATGTTGCCTTATGTAAAGCTCTAGCTCATTTGTAGTTTTCTTTTTGTTTTTGGTTCTTTTTTTTACTTATTTATTTGAGAGAGAGCGAGAGCATGCGCACACAGCAGGGAGGAGCAGAGGGAGAGGAAGAGAATCTCAAGCAGACTCCGGCAGAGCTCGGAGCCCAGCTTGGGGCTCGATCTCACAACCCATGAGATCGTGGCTTGAGCCGAAATCATGAGTCCAACGCTTAACCGACTGAGCCACCGAGGCACCCCTATGGTTTTCTCTTTTATATCGTTAGTATTCCATTTTATGAAATCCCACAGTTTAGTTATGTGTTATGTTGACAGACATCTAAGTTACTTTCAGTTTTTGCTATTTTGGATTATATTGCTGCGGATGGTCTTACTGTATGTCTCACAGCTGTACATGTGTGTGCACATGCACACTCACTCTCAGGAGTAGAATTGCTGTATCACAGATTCAGTTTTCAGGGTACATCAAATTGTTTTCCAAAGTGGTTGTACCATATTACATCAGGCAGCTGATTCTCCAGTGTCCTATATGATATGATCAGGTCTTCATCAGTAGGACATTCAATTTAGTTGGGTTTGCAGGAAGGGAGATGGATTTGCATCACTGCACGCATTCATATTCTATTTCTTGGTGCCCTTTGACGCCAGTGCTCTCTATTGTAACAACATAGCCATCCCATTATCTGATCTGGAGCAGAGACTCATGAGCACAAACCACCTTGGGACCACCCTGCTGCAGTAGGAAAACCTTAACTTGTTTTCCTTAACTTCCCGCTGAGGAGGGAGCCTGATGTGGGACTCAATCCCAGGACTCTGGGATCAGGACCTGAGCCGAAAGCAGACGCTTAACCACCTGAGCCACCCAGGCGCCCTTACGTGTGATGTGAGGTAGAGTTCTAGTTTTATTATTTTTTATTTTTTTCCCTAAAAACAGATGGTCCCATCAACCTTTATTGAGGCATACAATAAAAATAAAATCCCTCTTTGGTGAAGGGAACTTCTTCTTATGAAATAAATGATCCTTAAATGCTTTTTGCCTTCATATTTCTTGTGTTAGATACTGTGGGCAGGGCTGGTTAAGTCTAACTAGGCTTTGGAGGACCCAGGTGATTCCTGTCTGGCCTGTAATTCTATCCAGGGGCTCTTCCATTTCTGGGCCATTCTGATCTTAAGATTGCTGGTGTCCTGTGAGTCTTTGGCTTATTATGAAGAAGGTCTCCCATTTGACTTCCCACTTTCTGTGGACTTTGGACTTTGATTTTTCTCCCACTCATCTTGTGAGTCTCAAGAATCCTAGGTTCTAATTTTCCAGGATTGGCAGTTGCCCTAGAGTAAAGCTGTTTCTGGACTGCCTTACCAATCTGGGATGTTTTATGGACTTAAAGTTCCTTTTAATGTCTTGTTATCTTTTTATTGCTTTTAGGAAGCTTTTGTTTTGCTTGATTTCTAAACATTTCATTTAGCCTTTTATATTTTTTTCTTATGGAAGGATTGATTTGGATAACTAGCCTACCTTTCCTTGGAACACGAATGCTTGTAATTCGTTTTTTTTAAATAATATTTTTATTGTGGTGAAATGTAGAAAACATAAAATTATAGTTTTAACCATTTTTACGTGTATAATTCAGGGGCATTAAGTACAAAAGTACATTCATATATTGTGCAACCATGACCACTATACATTTCCAGAGCTTTTTCACCATCCCAGATAGAAACATCAAACAATAAACAGTACTTTTTCTCTCTTTCCTCCCCAGCCCCTGATAACTTCCTTCCTCCCTCCCTCCCTTTATTTATTTATTTGACAGAAACAGAGACAGTGAGAGCAGGAACACAAGCAGGGGGAGTGGGAGAGGGAGAGGGAGAAGCAGGCTTCCCGCGGAGCAGGGACCCCGGCGGGGCTCAATCCCAGGACCCTGGGATCATGACCTGAGCCGAAGGCAGACACTTAATGACGGAGCCACCCAGGGGCCCCGCCCCTGATAACTTCTTTTCCACTTTCTGTCTCAGTGAATTTGCCTACTCTAGGTACCTAATATAAGTGAAATCCTACAACATTTGTATGATTAGGTTTTATCCGTGTTGTAGTATGTGTCAGAATTTTATTCCTTTTTATGGCTAATACCCCATTGTGTGCATGTAGTACATTTTGTTTATCTGTTTGTCTGTTGATGGTCACTTGGATTGTTTCCACCTTTCGGCTGTTGTGAATAATGCTGCTGTGAACGTTGGTGTACAGGTATCTGAGTCCCTGTTTTTGTTTCTTTTGGGTATATACCTAGGAGTGGAATTGCTGGATCATGTTGGAATTCTGTGTTTAACTTTCTGAGGAAGTGCCTAACTTACACAGCAGCCGCACCATTTTATATTCTCACCTGCAGTGCACAGGGTTCCAGTTTCTCCATATCCTTGCCTACACTTGTCATTTTCCTTTTTTAAAAAATATATAATTGCCATCCTAATAGCCTGATTGATTATGATTAAGTTTTTAAAAATCTATTACTGATTTTGTCTCCTAGATCTATTAATTTTATAAAAACCTCCTATGATGGCAGCTCTGAAGGTCTGTTAGTTTTTTCTTTATATTTGAGTCTGTTTTATAAGTTACAGTTGACCCTTGAACAGCATGGGTTTGAACTGCATGGGTCCACTTGTATGCAAACTTTTTTCGATAAATAAAAGTGCAGTACAATAAATGTATTTTCTCATGATTTTCTTAACATTTTTTTTCCTAGCTTTATTTTAAGATTACAGTCTATAGTACACATAACATATGATATACAGAATATATGTTTTTCAGCTGTATGTCAACAGTAGGCTACCAGTAGTTAAGTTTTGGGGAAGTCAAAATTTATACACAAATTTTTGACTCCACAGGAAGCTGATGCCCTAAACCTCCCCCCCACCCCGAGTCCCGCACTGTTCAAGGTTCAGCTGTATATCTAAGTTTCAAATTGTGGTGAATTATTCTAGTGGTTTGAATTGCAGTAAATTGAACCATTTAGTATTACATAATGATCTTCTCTGTTCTTACTGTGCTTCTTGTCTTAACATTCTGTTTTCTGATGTTAGTATTTCTATGCCATCTTTCTTTTGGTTAGTATTTGAAGGTGTATGTTTTTCACCTTTACTTACACATCTTTTTTATTCTTCCTTTTTACTTAGCATTATGAAATAAACATTTTCACTCTGAATAATTTTAATTATTAATGTTACAATAATTTCTGTAACCAGTCCACCATTGTTGAATATTTTTTGATAGTCTTCATTTTTTTTTTTTTGTTTGCTCTTGAACGATACCATGTACATCTTATGTTACAGCTTTTTGTTGTTAAAATACTTTAATTTGGATGAATTCTTGGAAGTAGGATTATTGGGTTTCTTAGGTATGTACTTTTTTTTTTTTGGCCTTTGATGCTGTCATATTGCTTTTCCAAGCAGTCACACCTATTTTCATTGCTACCAGCACTATTTAAATGTCTACTAGATACCATCGATCATATGGTACACCATCATCTTGTGAATTGCTAAGAAGAAAAACTTGCTCTGTTAAATTGGCATGATTTTTTTTTTAAGATTTTATTTATTTATTGGAGAGAGCACATGAGAGAAAGCTAGAGAGAGCACTAGCAGGGGAAGGGGCAGGGGGAGAAGCAGGCTCCCCACTGAGCAGGGAGCCAGACACGGGACTCGATCCTAGGACCCTGGGTGGGATCACTACCTGAGCTGAAGGCAGATGCCTAACCCACTGAGGCACCCAGGCGCCCCAGCACAATACTTTCTTATTTAGAGTTTTTATTGATTACTTACCAGAAGATATCTTTTAGGTACAGATAGACAGATTTTTATTATATCACTCTGGCATATACACATGAAATATACACAGTTAAAATCATTAGGGTATTTCAAAGCTTCACACTTAACATGCAGTTTTTTTTTTTTAAGACTTTATTTATTTGACGGAAAGAGCACAAGCAGGGGGAGTGGCAGGCAGAGGGAGAGAGAGAAGCAGACTCCCCACTGAGCAGAGTGCCCGATGCGGGGCTCGATCCCAGGGTCCCGGGATCATGACCTGAGCCGAGGGCAGATGCCCAACCACTGAGCCACCCAGGCGCCCCTTCTGTGTTATTTTTTGACTCAAAGTTGTTGTCTTTATTTTTCTACACTATACATGGAGAATGTTGGTGATAGCAAAAAAACTAATAGCCCAATTAAAAAAAGGCTTGAATAGACTTTTCTCCAAAGAAGACATACAAATGGCCAACAGGTATATGGATAGTTGCTCAGTGTCACTCATCATCAGGGAAATGCACATCAAAACCACAATGAGATATCTCCTTACACCTGTTAGAGTGGCTAGCAGCAAAAAAGCAAAATCAGGGGCACCTGGGTGGTTCAGTCTGTTAAGTGTCTGACTCTTGGTTTCAGTTTAGGTCATGATCTCATGGGTCCTGGGATCAAACCCTGGGTCTGCGTTAGGCTCTGCACTTAGCAGGGAGTCTGCTTGAGGATTCTCTCCTGCCCTCCAACTCACGTGCTTATGCATGTGCATGTACTTTGTCTCTCTTAAATAAATCTTAAAAAAACAAAAAAAGTGTTGGTGAGAATGTGGAGAAATTGGAACCCTTGTACCCTGCTGGTGGAAGTCCAAAATGGTACAGCCGCTGTGGAAAACAGTATGGAGTTTTTTCAAAAAAATTAATGATCTATATGATCCAGTAATTCCACTTCTGGATATTTAAACAAAAGAATTTAAATCAGGATCTTGAAGAATTATTAACACTCCTACATCCATTGTAACTATTCCTAATAGCCAAGTTATGGAAACAAAGGTCTACCAATGGAAGAATGGATAAAGAAGATGTGATATATACACACAAAGTATTATTCAGCCTTAATAAAAAGAAATCCTGTAATGTGCGGCAACATGGATGAAACGTGAGGAAAGTATACTGAGTGAAATAAACCAGTCACAAGGACAAATAATGTATGATTCCACTTACGGAGATATCTAAAATAGTCAAACTCAGAGACAGAGGGTAGAATGGTGGTTAGCAGGGATTGGAGAGGGGGGAAATTGGGTTAAATCAACAGATACAAAGTTTGTCATGTAGGGTGCATACGTTTTAGAGATATGCTATACAATGTTGTGCCTGTAGTTAACAGTACTCTGTTGTACTCTTAGAAATCTGTTAAGTGGGGGGTGCCTGGGTGGCTCAGTCATTAAGCATCTGCCTTTGGCTCAGGTCGTGATCCCAGAGTCCTGGGATTGAGCCCCACATTGGGTTCCCTGCTCAGCGGGAAGTCTGCTTCTCCCTCTCCCCCTCCCCCTGCTTGTGTTCGCTCTCTCGCTGTGTCTCTGTCAAACAAAATCTTTAAAAAAAAAAAAAAATCTTACGGGGGAGATCTCATGTTAAGTGTTCTTATTACCACAGTAAAAAAAATTTTTTAATGTTGGTGATAAAGCATTTCTTATGAGTGGCTAATAATAATTACATGATGCTTTCAATTAAAAAATGGTATGGGGTTTCAGATATTTTAAAATGTGAAAGGTTGCATCCTAGAATCACTAAAGTATGGTGATTTCACTATAATCTTACTGGGTGTCATTATTTAATGTTTTTCCCTAACCCAGTGAACTATAAAAGTGCCATATGTATAAATTTTAGTTTTCATTTTTGTTAATAACAAGGATATTTTTCAGTATCTGTAGGAATATTATTTTAGCAACTATTAAAATCTTTAGTACTGAAATTGAAGGTGAGATTGTAGTTTCTCATTCAGGTTTACCAAGTTTTTCCTCAAGAGGAAACCACTTAATGTAGGTATTACTTGATTTGGTTAAAGTGTAATTGAAGTACTACTCTCTGGAACTGGCATTTATGACAGGTGTAAAGCAGTCATTCTTGAACTTACTAGAATCACCAGGGAGCCTGTTGGAGTTTGAGTAATTTAGTGTGCAGTAGGGTACAGGAGTATGTGTTCATAACAAGTACCCCAGGTGATCATCATGCTCATGGACCATGCTGAGAGGGTGCAGAAGGTTGAGATAGAGCTATAGATTTTCTCTTTGGTGATAGTGGCTGGAAATTTACAGAAGTAGAATACTTGATTAAAAACCCATGGAAACTTGTTAATAAACAGCTTTTAATGTTAGGAAGTGAGGCATTTCATTTTGTTAAATGTGAAGGGCTGGCATATCTAGGTTCTTTTTATTTTTATTTTTTTAAAGATTTTATTCATTTGAGACAGCATGAGCATGGGGGAGGGAGAGGGAGAAGCAGACTCCCTGCTGAGCAGGGAGCCTGACGAGGGGCTAGATCCCAGGACCCAGAGATCATGACCTGAGCCCACGGTAGACACCTAACCATCTGAGCCACCCACGCATCCCCCCCCCTTTTTTTTAAAGATTTTATTTATTTGAGAGAAAGGGAGAGCAAACACGAGTGGGGGCAGATGGAGAGGGAGAAGCAGTGGCGTGTCTAGGTTCTTGAGCAGGAGGATTACATGGTAAGTTGGGATTGTTGAATGTTATATGTAATTCTATCTTCTATAACACTGTGAAAAAAGAAAAATGGAGATTTCTGTTGAGGTGATTCTTTTTTATTGGTAATTCCTTCATTTCAAGGCTTTCTCAGTACCACTCAGACCGAGATTAGGCTAAAACAAAGTTTGATGGATCGAGTGGAATATAAGCTCCATAAAGGAGATGGTGTTTGTTCTTACATCTGTAGTCTCTAAAACAGTGCTTGGCATATGGTAGACATTTAGTAATATTTGTTGAATGTATGAATATACATTATAGTTTATATATCAAGTACTCTTTAGGAAGTAACGGTTTGCTTTGAATCCCTTAAAATTATCTATTGAAAGCTGTTGCAATTGACTTTACATAGAATTTATATTAAACCTATTGTGGATTTTTAATTGAGGTTCATTTATCATTAAAATCATGGGAATAATTATTACATCATTTGGATTTTTTTTTTAAGATTTTATTTATTTGAGAGAGGGAGGGAGGGAGCACAAGCAGGGAGGAGGGGCAGAGGGAGAGGGAGAAGCAGACTCCCTGCTAAGCAGGGAACCTGACTCAGGGCTTCTTCCCAGGACCCCCCCCCCACCCCGCTCCACCCTGAGATCATGACCTGAGCTGAAGGCAGATGCTTAACCGACTGAGCCACCCAGGTGCCCCTATCATTTGGATTCTTTGCGTGTAAATTACATCTTAAATTTATAATTACTGTTACAAATAGAGCTTTTGTAGTAAAAGCATTTTTTTTTTCCTTTTAGGAGTTAACAGAGCAGTTACATCAAGTTGAATCCCAACTGAATAAGCTAAATCATCTTCTTACTGATATTCTTGCTGATGTGAAGACAAAAAGAAGAATTTTGGCATCTAATAAACTGCATCAAGTGGAAAGAGAATTATATGTATATTTTTTAAAAGATGAAGATTATCTGAAAGATATTGTGGAGAATTTAGAAAACCAATCAAAGATTAAGGCCGTTGGTCTTGAAGATTGAAAATTACTAAAAACTGAATCTTTACTACATATGCTGTTTTAATATTTTATATATTAGGAAAATATAGCTAATAAACCCTACTAAAATTTTAAATTTGAGGCCCATGGAACATTTCATTTAATTCATTCAAGTACTACATCGTTTGGTTTTTTCCTTATATAGTATGTTCAAAGTACCGCCAGTGCTTTTTATGAATTAACCATTTGCTTGGTGGCAATTAGTTCCGGTAACCTTTTACTTACAGGGAAAAAGCATTATTATATAATGCAAATATTTCTTAATAGAATTAGTTCTAGCTCTCCTTTACTTTTTTTTTAGAAATAGAAATTTTCTGCTGTTATATATTTTAAACTTTTGTAAAACTTTGAATCAGCATTGTTAAACCTGTGGACCCTAGTATACGGAAGAGCCAAGTCCCCTCATATTTGGGTATAAAGTAAAACTCAGCCACTCAAACTGTGTAATTCCTTAATTCCCTGCTATAGACTTTGAGACTCGACTCCTGTTTGCATCCCAAAGAATGTCACGTGTCCTTCGACCATTGTTCATTTTAGCAGCTGTGTCCTGGGGGCTCAAAATTTCTGCAGGACAGATCTTAGCGGTTTTGGACTTCAGTGTGACTTACACATTTTGAAAATACCGTACAAGTGGTTTCTCAGAGGATGTATAATGCTATTTTAATCGGTTTCTCTGGAGTGAAAATAGTTAAGTGTTAGATTGTATTAGTTGGGGTACAGATGTATTCTTTGGACAATTAGAAATTATTTTGAATGGTATGAAATCCTTTGAAGTAGCTTATTTATCAGTTATGACATCAAATGCTTCTTGAGTGCTTGATTTATATGTGGCCTGTGGTATATACTATGTAAGCTTTACAGAGGAAGAAGGTAGAGCTATTACCTTCAAGAATATTCCTAAAAAAAAAAAAAATTCCTGTTCCAGAATATCTTGCCTTTTTAATATGGAATGCCAGTCTAAACGCCATGCATTTTAGGTGGTCCTTGTGGAATTCTTTAGCTATGATCATCAGAACATGGGTATGCTTAGGTGATAGATAAGTCTTGATAATTTTTATAATCTGTTGAACGAAAATATCTTGCCAATTATAGTATTTGTACCTTATTTAAATATTTATATTAAGTAGATCTAAATGTGTACGAAAAATTTGTAACAAATTTTGTCTAAGATTTTCGTATTAGCTCCTCATGGGTGACTTTTGTTCCTTTTTAAATTTTTTTTCCTCTTCTACAGTGGAATAGAGAATTTATTTCAAATTTTTCTTTTATCCAGTAATGTGGAAAAATATGTCACCGGTTTCCTGGCTCATGGAATAGCAAATTCTGTCTAGATTTGTACCAAATATGATGTATGACCAGCTACTTGATGATTTGTACTGTCCCTTCCAGACCTTTACCCACTCAGCCCAGGGGCCAGGCAAGCTGAGCAGTATACCTGAAAGGATGTCAGGTTTTGTGTCTATCATAATTACCCAAGTCCATTAAAAGTAATTTTTCTGTAATTAGATTTGAATATTTGAAGATTTTAACAGCCATTGGTTTCAGACCTCAGAAAGTATTTGGATTGCTCACTTCAAAATTGGTTAGCTAGAAATGTGTTCTTTGTTCCCTGTTTACCAGGATATTCCAGTTGAGCCTCTAACCATCTTGCTCGCTTCTTACTATTGAATCGGTAATTATGGAGGCAACTGCTACCTATTTTCTGTGGTCATTAATAGAGTAATTTGTATGAATGCCTCTGGCTGTAACATTTTCAAATAACGTGTTTCTTATTTTGAAGTCTCAAAATTAATACGTGGATGTTATGTTTATCTTATGTTTAGGATTTATGAAAATGGAAAATTATGAGGCATTTGTAGGCTTTGATCTCTGTAAGGTACCCCTGTCCAGTGCTGCACAGAAGATTATGTCTGCTGTGCACTCGGGTGATTCAGTGGAGTCTAAGAACTGGAGAGAGAGTGAAAAGAGTGAGTAATTTTTATATAAGCATCTTTCTGTCTTTTGTTACCTTGAATGTTAATTATTTCTTAAGGTTTGACAATGAAACAATCATTCTCAGGAACCTTCTATTGTGTAGGGAGGTTCTTGCTACAGACAAATGGAGTCCGGCTCCCCTTGGTTTATTCTCATTCAGTGATGACTGAGCTTTTGCTCACAAGTTGCACATTCTCTCGGCCCTTACTGCTTTAGAATGTAACACTCTTCCTTGTTCCAGGCATTTCTATCCGAGAGTTCCTGAGAATCTGCTTCAACTGTTTAAGTAACCTCAGAGAGCTGGGCTCTTTCACAGTGCCCCTCGCTTCAGCCTTAGCTCTTGGGTCTTCGGACACACAGGGACATAGTACTTGTTTGCTGTGTGTGGTGGATGGGAGAAGGGTGTTTGACAGTGTGTGTCTTAGCTGCCCAAGAGCTATGAGCTCTCAGGTGTGTGTGTTTATGACGTGATGTCACGCAGCAGCAGTGGCGTGGGCGCACAAGTGTGACTGAGACATTCGGAACACCAGTTCTTTGTTTTACTAGCAAAGCAGTTTGTTGTTGTTTGTGCCTTAATATTTAAGCCTGGGCTAATAATTTGTCGTTTTTTATAGAGTAAGTTATACGTGAGATGTAATTGTGATGAAGTAATTGAGAGCATTGACAAATAGTGCAAAGGCTATGTAAGTGCAGTTCTTGATTAGGATATAGTAGCACCAAACATTTCGATCTGCTCATATTTAGGAATCTGTTGCTCGTGAGCCTCATTATAGAAAGTCACTGATAAATGAACTGCTAGCAAGTTTTGTGTATGGACCACAGACCTAGAAGTTGAAAATGTTTTGGGGAATGAGGGGTGGATAGTAAAGAAAATAAATATTTAAACATCAGAGAGCTTTCTCCTTTATTCTGTATACTTTCTAAAATAGTGTGCACTTGACAGAAGTGGAAATGTACTTCCCTTTAAAAACTGATAGGAATAAAAAAAGTACTGATAGGAATAGTGAAATGCCTCTGGTAGCTTCAGTGTGAGTCTTGAGAAAGATTTATGGCCATCAGCCCATCTTGTGAACTCTTTTGTCATGCTCTTCAAATACCCTATAAAATTCTAGTTTTCATAAATTTATTGAGAGGTAATGGGAAAAGATAGTATTTTTCTGTCAAGTGTTACTGGATTTGGAAAAATAGAGGAATTTCCACAAAGATTCTGTATTGTCTTTTGCTGCACAGCACTGTTACTGCAAACTTAGCGACTTAAAAAAGGCACATTTGTTATGTCCCAGTTTCTGTGGGTCAGGAGTCTGGGCACAACTTGGCTTTATCCTTTGCTGGGCTATAGTGCGGATGTGTCAGCCAGGGCTCGGGTCTCATCTGAAGCCCGAATGGGGAGGCATTTGCTTCCAGTTCACAGGGTTGTTGGCAGATTCAGTTCCCTGTAGGCTCTTGGGCCGAGAGCCTCCCAAGCTCTTGGCTGTAACACACCCTCCATTCCTTCCCACGTGGTTCTCCTGAGGCACAGCTTCACGTGATGGCAGCTTTTCCTCTGGCAAGACTGACATCCTAGTCTTCTGCAACGTGATTGCGAACACCCTGTCACTGTTGCTGTACTCTGGGTGAGGAGTGAGCCAATAAGTCCCACCCGCACTCAAGGGTGTGAGTACTAGGAGGCAGGGGTCCTGGGACCACCCTGGAGTCTGTCTGCCACAGAGTCCCACCAGTTTTAGTTCTTATTTCATATGGATTTGATTAAGTTGGGTTTCTGGTGGGTTATTGATGCATGATGCTGGACCTAAGATCTAGTTGCTTCCTGGACTCTAGTTATATGCTGAGCTGTTATTGTGTCAGACCCTTATCTCTTACAAGGAAAATACTATAAATCTGCATTTCATTTCTAAAGCCCATTTTGAACTAAATAAATACAAAAATTGAATTCCTAAATCAATGAGAATAACTACAAATATTTGTTATTATGAACAAGTAAAACCAAACAACATTAGTGTTATATGTCACTTCGGGGTCTAGGTGTCTTATGTGCTGGGCTGAGGGATGTCAAGATGCACACCCAGTGGGCGCCTGGGTGGCTCAGATGGTTAAGCGTCTGCCTTCGGCTCAGGTCGTGATCCCAGGGTCCTGGGATCGAGTCCCGCATCAGGCTTCCTGCTCTGCGGGGGGCCTGCTTCTCCCTCTCCCTCTGCCTCTCTCTTTCTCTGACTCTCGTGAATAAATAAATAAAACATTTAAAAAAAAAAAAAGATGCACACCCAGTAAGGGATGGACTTTGTATGTCGTCTTGCTGCAAGATTGATCGTTGTTTAAAAACCCTCTGCTGCAAGAAAACAAAATATGCAGAAACTGAAACTGTAGTTTAACGAATGAAGATAAAGAGGACATCCATGTCATTGCATTCAGAACCTCAAAGTTTCCTTCTCAGTTAAAACTCTCTCCCTGCTTAAGGGGGGCATCATCCTGACTTGTGGCAGTGTCTTCTACTTCCTGACCACGGGCATTTTGTGTTGCTCCAGAGGCCTTTTGGGGCAGAGATTACTTGTATGCTGCACCAAAGTTTATCCTTCCCTTCAGACTACATGGCTCAGTCTCCTTCAGTCAGGTGTGACCTGGGTTCCTGTCAGCAGGATGTGCGCTCACGTGGCGTGTGCCATTTCCAGGGCAGGCCTCTTTCCTTCCCTCCAGTAGGAACCCTCCTTTTGAACTCTGCAAATGAAAACAGTGTCCTAGAGGATTGTACGATGTGTTGGAAGCACCCCAGTCCTGGAGAGGCTGCATGAAGGAAGCATGTCCAGCCAGTTGAGAACATGAAAAAGAAATAAACTTTGTTTTTCAAGCTGTTGTCTTGTTGGGTCTTTTGTGACTGTAGCTTAGCTTTGTACCTTAACCCATACACCTTTAAACTAGATTGAAAAGTGGATTCATCTGACTTAAATTTTCGTTGTCATTTGATGGTTCAGTAATGCTGTTGAAAGCCTTGGGTAAATACTGAGGGAGAAGGAGTTTGCAGGGTGGCTTCAGGGTTGCCAGTGGACTCAATGGCTCTGTAGAGGGTTATGCATAGGAGTCAGCACGTGCTATTGGAAGATACCTCTGTTTTGTCTGAGTAGCTATAGAAATCAAATAACACGTTTGTCCAAATTATTTTTCATTTTAACAACTTAGATGTGAATGTGGTTTTCCAGTTAAAAATATATATATATACATATATATTTACAGACATTATAAAATAATACAGTTTGAGACCCCAAAGGTAGATATTTGTGAAAATCCAGTTCATTAATGTGAAGTGTGTCTATCCCACCATCCAGTAGAAATCTTCGCGATTTCAAGGACATAAAACTAAAAGACCAAACAGATCTATCTTGATTCTGTTCATTCTAGTCAAGAGTATAATGGATAAACATGTTGTATTATTTTTATTTCTGTTAAATAAACATAAAATCCTTACATCCAGTCACTTGGCAAGCCCTGCCAGCTGTTGGGTTTCAGCCCCCACTGTCCTCATACAAGCCCGCATTTCTCCTCACACGGATTTTGGCAGTGGCTTCCTGATTGTTGACCTTCATTATTGCCCCTTTGTCTTGCCCTCATGCCTTCGCTAGAACTACCTCAGCTCCTGTCCTTGCCCGCCGCGGAATTCACCTACGGAAACATCCCATTCACTCTGAGGGACCCCCGCCTGCCCTGTTGAGTCTTCTGCCCCCCATCATTCCTCTCTTACTTTACACCCCATTCAGATTTGACTGCAACTTCCAAACACATGACATTTTCATTATCATCCTCTACTTACCCTTTTCTTTCTCTTCCACTCAGCTGAGTGGTGAAAGCAGCATTTTACAAGGTCCTGCTCAAAATACTTTTTTTTAGAGGCGCCTGGGTGGCTCAGTTGGAAGTGTCTGCCTTCAGCTCAGGTCGTGATCCCAGGGTCCTGGGATTGAACCCCTTGTCTTTTCAGGCTCCCTGCTCAGCGGGGAGCCTGCTTCTCCCTCTCCCACTGACCTGCCCACCCTGCTCGTGCTCTCTCTCTACCTTTTTTTTAAAGACTATTAGAGCACGAGTGTGGGGCGGGGCAGAGGGAGAGGGGCAGTAGACCCCCCCCCACCCCCCACTGAGTGTGGGAGCCCAATGTGGGACTCCATCTCAGGATCCCGAGAACATGACCTAAGCCAAAATCAAGAGTCGGATGCCCAACTGAGTCACCCAGGTGCCCCTCGCTCAAAATACTTCTGCTACCAGCGTGCCTTATTGGATTCATTTGCAGCTCAGTTTAGTGTGCTGAGGTACTTCTGGTTGTTTGTATGACACTGTAACTGTTGGTGTGCTTTGAACTCTCTGAGGCGAGGTAGGCTGTTCTCTCCTTGAATTTGGCCACAGGTGGACTCACCTGTTTATTCTCCCACTGATTTGTAAGAGCTTTCTACACACAATACATATATGTGAAGGACTTTTTTTTAAAGATTTTATTTATTTGACAGAACACAAGCAGGGGGAGCAGCAGAGGGAGAGGGAGAAGCAGGCTCCCTGCTGGATCCCAGGACTCCAAGATCATGACCTGAGCCAAAGGCAGACACTTAACAACTGAGCCACCTAGGCGCCCTGTGAAGGACTTGTCTATTATATATGTTGTAAATATTTTCCTCAATATTTTTGGGAGGTCTCTTTTTTTGGTAATACTTGGGAAATTCTTTTAAACAAAGCCAAAAACATAAGAGTTCATAATCCCACATTTAGGGGCGCCTGGGTGGCCTCAGTCATTAAGTGTCTGCCCTTCGGCTCAGGTCATGATCCCAGGGTCCTGGGATCGAGCCCCACATCGGGTTCCATGCTCCGCGGGAAGCCTGCTTCTCCCTCTCCCACTCCCCCTGCTTGTGTTCCTGCTCTCACTCTGTCAAATAAATAAATAAAATCTAAAAAAAAACATTTAAAAATATTTTCTTACATGCTTATACCCACAGGCACGTGGTGAAAGGGTTCATCTGCACATTGTTTTCTTGGTTCAGCCTTTTGCTTTGTTGAACCCTCTCTCCTTGTTGCTAACCAAGCTGGTAACAAACTTAGTATGTCCCTTTTATGTTTTTGTCCCATTTCTTTCTGTGATTGTAATTCTAGCCCGCATGTGTGGCTGTGCTGTGCCATCCAGACCCCTCCTTGCTTCCAGTGGGATTGGCTGAGGCCTTCCTTGTGACGGAGCCTCCCCTTCACTCAGTCCTTGGGTCCCCCCATAAGTTTCCTGTGGGCGAAGCTCAGTCTGGTTCCCAGGAACCAGATCTGCTGCAGTTGGTGCCAGAAGCGGTCTGAGAGGGCACACGTGGCGTTTTGGAGTTTGGTCATCCTTAGGCAGACGCACTGATGACCTTCACAGGTGGTAGGCAGAATAGGACTGGTAGCAGTGAGTTCCAGCTTGGACTGGGGGTGGGTGGTGTGGCATACCAGTGGAAGCCGCTGCCCTGACTGCTGGGATTTACTGGGTACTTGAAAAGTACAGGGCAGTGGCAAACAATGGAATTGGCAGCTGTGGCTAGGAATAATAAGTCCTTTGGAAAAAGACATGGGGTGAGGGTGATTAATTAGCGTTTAAAGGCTAAATGTAACCAGGGGTCTTCCCTGGTAGCGTAAAAAGAGACCACTCACAGCCACAAACCAGTGCTTAGTCCTGAGACTGGAGAGCTCTAGAGAAGGTTGGCTTCTCAGCCCAGGCAGGTGTGCTACCTCAAGGTCAGGGCCTTGATCAGAAGGGGACCAGACCCTGAGATCTGGCCTGGGATTACCTGATTGGCACATTCAAATCCTGAATCCCAGATGCCTCTGGGACCTGCAGAAGTGGCTACTTCTCTGTTAAAAGCTAGTGTCCTATCCTCCTGCCATTGCTGAAGACTGTGCA